ATTATCTTGCGACTTGTATTGAGAACTTGTACTGCGAATTGTATGTTTAAAAATCATCATTAAACTTATAAGTCTCGACAAAACTAGATTTTTAGAAAAACTTAATCTAAAAAAAATATTTTTTTCTGACTTAATGACCTCACATCAGCGGCTTGTGTTTTGCATACTAGAAGAGACAAAAAACTGAAAACTAAAATAAATTATAAAATTTAATATTTTTAATTGTGAACTGAAATTAACATCTCTAATTGTCTTATGCCTGAAAATAGACTGTGATTATAGCAGTCTATTTTTTACGCTGTGCTATAATTTTATAAATTAATGAAAATTAAAATAAACTATTAAAATGGATGCGTGAAGAATAACCCATGACGTATTATTGTTTTTTCTTCGTAGTACACTGTCAAGTCTGTCTTTTTTGTCGTTACCTACATTTTATAGTGGCTAAATGTAAAGTGTTATAAAAAGTAAAAAGCAAATTAGTAAATATGAACTGTAAAAAAACGGGGTATACAATAAATTATGATTGATCACAGTACCCATTTATGTAAAATATATAGATGCTACTATATATAATATGTTTGTAAAGTCCCCCGCGACACAGGATATATTCCTAATGCGGGAGTTGTCTTTGATAAAAGAAGAATACTAATTACTAAAGTTGTTATTAATTAGTTTATTTATAGACGGCTCCCTTTTTGTTTATGTTAGAGGGGGCAGACGAGCAGACGGGTTACCTGATGGAAAGTGATCATCGCCGCCCATGAATGTATGCAACTCAGGAGTCACAAACGCGTTGCCGGCCTGTTAGGAATAAGTACGCTCTTTCCTCTTTTTTCCCCATGGTCAGTTTATGCCCGCATCCTAGTGGCCTTTCCAATCATAGGATAGATATTCGATACTTCAGTCTTAGTACCGTTTCCCTTCCCAGACTAATGATATCCTTTACCTTAGGTTCCTGGGCCTGACCATTTTCCTTACATCAATTATGGTTCTTCCTATATTCCTTCTATAAAGGATTGTACATACTAGGCCCTAAAAGAAATCAGTCAAAACCGTTTTTAACTAATATTACACATTGCGGCGACCCAAATTAGCCTAAGTCTAATGGAATTAATATAATTTAATTTAAAAGGGAGAACAAGGGGGTTTTTCGTCTCTTTATAGAATAGTATTTAGTCTGTAGCTATATATTACGAATACAGGAATAAACACAGATTTACAAAAACAATTTTTTATTGCTTTTTTATCTGTTTTTAAAAAATACCGGTTTTTCTCTCATAATCCTTGAATAAACCATACTTAAACAACATACTCACGTATTACAATACATTGAAAAATACATGGAGACTGGTATTTTATATCACTACTTTAAGTCGTTAGTTTCTCTTTGGTATTCAAAACTCCAATAATAGTGTTATTTATTAGAGGTAATACCCAAAAATCGTCCAAACATCCAAATAACTTTGTCTACTGGGCATTTTATTTCGTTCGTCACCCAAGTTTTGATTATGCATGCTTCTCTTGGTATTTATTTTTTTGTTTTGAAAGTTACCGATGTCACCTTGGCAGTGTCTATGATATTGATTTAAATTGCCTTTTTATGGTGGGATTAGGTTATGGGTTTACTGCTTTGAGATGTGAGTATAAAAGTTTTCCGATCAGTTAGCAAACTTAAAGGGTGTAGCATAGAAACACCTAGACCAAATCAAACATTAAATGTTCAAGCACACAAATGTTTGACTTGAGCGGGAATCGAACCAGCGACCTTTGCAATAGCAGTCCGTTACACAAACCACTACGCCATCCGGTCGTCTAATTTATCTTTTGAATAATTTTATTACTTCAAATCAAGCAAAAACCTGAACACCCAAAGATAATTCCTATTATCTAACAAAATTGTGACAAAGGACGACCTTTGAATGGGATGGGATTAACTTCTTATGGATCTATGTTTGCAATTGCAAAAAGTTTAGACACACTTTGTATCTACAAAGTGTGTCTAATAAAAGCGTCCATGCGTCCAGGCGTCCATGCGTCCAGGCGTCCATGCGTCCAGGCGTCCATGCGTCCAGGCGTTCATGCATCCGGACGTCCATGCGTCCAGGCGTCCATGTGTCCAGGCGTCCAGGCGTCCATGTGTCCAGGTGCCCATGCGTCTAGGAACACACAATGATTATTTTATATCAAATGACTAAATAGTAAAAGAAGATAAAATAATGAGGTAAAAAGTCTTCTTCATCAGAGTCAGAGTGTGATGATGGCATTACAAGTTTTGGTTTTGGTTCTGTACACATGTTAAATGTTTTTAGGTAAATTATTCCAATACACATGTAGACAATCATAGAAATAATGTTAAAAATGTATCTGTGTACATTGTACAATGCCGGTAGTTTCTAACTTATGAACTTTCAACATATTTCAGGATCGTTGTAATGGCAAGGCTACAGATTGTACTATTTTGTCAGTTAGGTCTATTATTAAGCATAAAAATAAAAGTATAGTTTATATAACGCCAAATATATAAGTACACAGTTAACGAAAATTTATAATTTTTTTAAGATCCATTTGTTGTCTGTGCTCTTCACAATCATTTCCACTTCACCAAAAGGTGCTTCCTGTGATCACATACACAAAAATACTCAAATAGTTATAAGTGTGCCTGTAATATTTAAAAAGTTCCCACTGTTTTTCTAGGATTCCCCTATTATATTCTGGCTAAATGACAATTGGTTCTACTGGGCTTTTTCAAACCTCTTTAAACATTAAATAAAATATCAAACGAACTTACAACCTCATTTGTTGCGGTCAAAGAAGCAATTGTAATAAGTTGTTTTTTTATGTTTTTTGTACTCTCTCGTGATACTATAATCATAGCTTGGTAGCTGTGATCATACTATTTAACACCAGCTACATAAGGAAAAACAAATGTCAACACAGCAGCATAATGACATCTGTTTTTCGACAACGACTTATAATTATTGAAGCTCAGATTGCACACATAATATAAGGAAAATATTAGGATAGATAAAAATAAATGAAACTAAAAATCTAAATTAAGTATTAATAATACTAAATATAACACAATTTCACCGTTAGCCCCGGAAAGGTGACGACCTGTGGAAGATTATACACATAAAAAAGCCAATATTTTTATGTGGTCTTACATTTTAAATTGATAAATTATTTACTGATTTTTGTTGAGCATTAACATTTATCAGTTGTATTTCAGTTGTAGCTTCTGATTTTTGATTTATTTTTATAAAAGTTAAAGTTTATCTTTTATAATACTGTTATATTTCGAACTTCACACAAAAACCGGCAAATAGGTAAACGTAGTATAAGCGTACAATTTAATATAATCATAATCATGCAAATCTATATAAATAGAGATGGTATAGTGCAAGCTCGTAAGCTCCTCACTTTATGGGGAATATTACCCGAATATGGTTTCTAGGGTAAGGAAAATTGGCAAAGTTTGGATATTTCGAAAAAAAATAGTGTTTTTTTTTGCGTAGGAATAAAATAATGTAATTTTTCCACTTGTAATAAAACACACTATACGAACTAGTGTGATGTACATAAAAATTAGCAAGAATGGTACAAAATATTTATTGCTTGGTAGTGGTCCCCGACTTGGGAAACTTCGCCCAAAAAGCTTATCAAACACCTTTTTTTCTTTTGTTTTGTTGACGCCGTGAAAAATCCCGTCGGATCGCCGGCTCCTCCAGGACGCAGGAACATGTAGTGTTTCCACTAAAAACCACCGTGACGACCGGTCTAAGACGCCCTACTCCGAGGAGGACCCAAACTATGTTTTTTCAGATACCCCCCATGATCGACGCAGCGCCTAGTAAGGCCCTACCCAAGGGAGGCCGCGGGCTTCTCCGCCTATCGACCCAATCATTACCTGTTGCGCCCGATCGCATTTTTTAGTTAATCTGCTATTGTAGGTATCGACGCCCACGAAGCCCATCAAAAATCTAGCCAAATAATATAATAATAATAACTGCATACATCTCACACACAACTGGATGATCTCAAACTAAACAGTGCCTGTACTATAATAACCAGACCTCTGATCAACATAATTATATATATCTAAATACAAACATCAAGTCGATAAATCACACCCAGACACAAAACAAATTATCGTGCTCATCACACAATTTTTTGTCTAGGGTGGAAATCGCACCTACGACTTATGGTTTAGCAGCCAGATTCACTAACCACCACCCCTTTTTATCCCGTGGGTGTCGTAAGAGCCTACTAAAAGAGCAACTACACAGGACAACAGCACTGCAAAGAACACAAAAACTTGACACACATCCTATACCAACCCGTCTGGGCTGCGTGGTATAGTAGCCAAAACCTCCTTTCTAAGGAGAGACCCATGTCCAGCAGTGGACTGTGAAAGACTATTGATGATGATTGATGATGGTCACTTACCACTAGACCAACAGGCTTGTCCTCGACATCAAACATTACAACAAAACACTTCTAGTGCTAAGGAACACAATCTCAAGAGTTGGAGGTAACCTGAATGCTTTTTATTATTTGGTTTTTAAAACATGACTACGGCCGATGCCGATGTTACATCTTTAAATTTTAAATCCAAAACCTTTACATAAAATTTGATGGTTGATGTATGTCGTTTTATGTATTATATTTCGCAACATTTAAAAAACAGGAGACGTAAATATATAAATTTCAAGTTTAGATTAAAAATAAATATCAAAAGCAAACAAAAACATCATAACTTAAGGCTCATACGGATTTATCTATAGAGTTATCTATAAAGCTATATACATACTGAAAACGGAAAATACAACACAATACAGTACACAGTATACAGTACACAGTATACAGTATACAGTACACAGTATAACAGTACAATAAAAGCCTTGATGTTGGTTAGACGCCGGCATACATTCGCGTCAAGTCACACTGACTACACGTATTTTTCGAAGATTTATATTCAACGTCTATTGTCAATAAAAATGGCAAAAATAGCGTCACTAGTGGTAGCAGTGGTTTTAGCAGTTGCCATCCAAGGTAAGCCAAAAAACTTTGCAAATCAATACTATTATAAAACATCTTATTTGACTGAAAATACAAAAATACCATTATTTATTAAAATATGTTATATGTCTACTATCAACATAGTTAAAAACCCGCTAATGAGTGACGTCATATAATTCGTAAAAAGTTTAAATATTTATAGATGATGAAAACTAGTTACATTGATTATTATTATCAAAATTAATGAATGTATTCAAATAAGTCCATTACGTAGAATTAAACTTGTAATTAATTTATGACAGAATTGGATGATATCCAAAAATATCGGTTCCGAAATATAAAATGGCAATATATAATATAATTGTATATTTTATGTAGCAAAAATCTATTATCAAAGTATTTTATAACGTTTAATTATTAATCTAAGCATTCAGCCATCTATGAATATATATACTTCATATGAAACAGGCTTCTTTTTAAAATTGGTTTGAGATTTTTATCGCTCTCTGTAGTTTGGGTCAACGATTTTACACATTTCAGAACATTGGATCCAAATGGCTGTGCTGAAAAACTAGTGCATCTGTATTACAGATTTGCTATGGCTAATAGACAATATTCTATGAATCACTTTGAAACATTCATCTAAGCTGCCTTAATTACTTATTTTTTTAAAACCCTTCGCAAAAATGTTGTATCAATCAATTGATTTCAGATTTTATATTCTTAGAATACTCTCCTTCGGACTTCCCTACGACATGTTAAAAAAGTTTGTGTAGTACGAGAACCCAGTTGCCAATCTCTTTTCTATTAGGTATAGAACAGCCTATTTTGTATTTCTTAATTATACAAGTAATGAAATGTAATAAACTCTGTCTTTCTTCAATATTTTCATCGAAGTCGTCAAGATAATTAGCAGATAATATCATCAAAATAAGCAGTAGTTCAATACAATGTAGACGACGAACTTTTAACTTTGGTATTGATAATCCAGTTAACATGGACCGTAATTTCATTTTTAATAACGACAAATCACAGTCGACTGGTAGATAAAGTCTGACAAAATGTATTAGATGTATTGGAAAAACTTCGTGGCCTGTTGTCAAGTTTTAGTCACATCACATCAACAGCCTCTAATAGTCCACTGTTTTACATAGGCCTCTTCTTAGAAAGGATTGTACTTCACTTATGTATCTTTATCGTTTTCGATGTCCGTGTGGTGACGGATTAAGAATACAGAGTGTCACCACCCCTATTCATCCCGTGGGTGTCGTAAGAGGCGACTAAGGGAGCTAACTACGCAGGACAACAGCACTGCAGAGAGAAGGAAAACTTGACACAAACCCTATACCAACCATTCTGGCCAGCGTGGTATAGTAGGCTAAAACCTCCTTTCTAAGGAGAGGCCTATGAGCAGTGGACTAGTAAAAGTAAAGTAAAAAAGATACGAGCCTAGCAATGCCTTTTTATATATTCGTTCAAGAAAAGAGTACCAAAAGTACTTATTTATTTTTAAAGCGTGGTCCTTAGGGATGTTCGTTTCCCACGGCACCGTAAGTTCTACTAGTACTACAAGTAATGACAAACAGATTTAAAAAATGGCTCATTACGCTTTAAAAATAATATATGTGCATTTAAACTATTTGCTTAATAATTTAATGAGTGAATATTTTTATTAATATGTATCCAATTAATTTTTATGTGAAGCACTAACTCAAAACGAGCTCTACAACTACGCAAACACTAAGCCTTTTATATATATAAAATATTAATATAAGTGACTTTTAGTTTATAGTTTTAAAGGCACATATCAGTCTGTAGTTAAAGAATCTTTATAATGCCTAATCTCAACCATGGATTGTTTATGGCTCAAACGATGATGATTGCATGTAAAGCAGACATGCATTACAAGTGATTTATACATATGTTAAGCCAAGCTAAAGAACTTATTTTGGATTTAGGAAAGTCCTAAAAAAGTTGAGTTTTAGAAGTAAACGGCAAAACTCGCTTAAACCATAAAATGTTACAGGCAGGCATAAGAAAAGTCGAAATTGCAGTAGTACAGTGCAGCACCAATGAGACATTAATAAGAACTCGAACTATTCTGATTATTTTGACAGACAAATGTGTTTCATGCGTTTCATTTCACATAAGAGCCCGCTTAACGCGTCTAACTGTGAGAAAAAAATTATAAACTCAATATAACTGCTTTTATTCTACGTAAAACAAATGAAATTGAATTTATAGTAGTAACCAGTTTTCAATCACCATTCGTCACGCATCGTACACCTTTTGTTTAGCGAATTGGACTTACGCATCTTGTTTTTTCTACTTTACTCAAGATGATTAGGACAAATTATGTACTTATGGGCGAATTAGCTATTCAATAATAAATTTCTAGTAAAGATACCATTTAATATAAAATAACTGCTTATAAGACTAGATTGAAACGGCCTTTTGCAAAGTTGCTTTAGTATCAACTTTTTTTTTGGCTACAAAAATTTTGATTTGATTGAAATCAACATTATAAGCAAAGCCATCTCCGAAATGTATTTTTTTATAATAAAATCATATATGTTTTGTCAACAAACACGCGGCAATTTAGTGGGGTCTAGGTGACCCCTTAATCACCTGTCCTCTAACGGGTCTTGTGTTCCATCGCGATCTATTCGAGCTCCGGCGATCCTAATAATTGTTTTGCATTTTAAACTAAATAATAGTGTACATGGGTTACATCTGCTGCCCTTGACTCACTTAGTCATTGAAAAGCAATGAAAACATTGCTGAACAACAGTTTTCAGTGAGGCTGTGGTTTCACCACCACCGTCGAACCCCTACATTCGTACCAAAACACGCCTATTCCACGGCACATATCTATACTTATATTATAAACTAGCTGGTGACCGTGACTTCGTTCGAATTTGCAGAGCGCTGCCCTTGTGGGTTCGATTTCCGGACCGGGCCAGATTTTAAGGCGATTTCTGAAAGAAAAAATAGTCATATTCATAGTTAAGTTACTTCTTGCGTAGACAGACCTGGTATTAAAACATTATCAAAATCGGTCCTGCCGTTTTGAATATTACCCGAAACAAACAGATAGCTAGACAGACAGGTTTTTAGGCATAGGTATCATGCAAATAACCGTTTGAGCATGAAAAAACCTATTATTTTGACATTACAAACAAACACTTTAATTTTATTTATTTGTATAGATAGATGTGAAAGTAAGTTTCTTTGTTTTTTACGCTTTCACGTCTAAACGACTAAGTCGCTTTAAAAAAAAAAAATAGCAATAGAAAGTTATTTTATCAGCGAGTACCATAGGCTAGTTTTTACCGTGATAACCGACATAGTTACTAATATTCTTGTTAACTTGACAATAAAATCCGATGCCTTGTGCATTTCATACTGATATGCCTGTCACTTTCTGTTAAAGATAGTCACTACTATATTTTTATTTTTATTTTTTTTATTTTAAGTAAATGTTTACTTCCTGGGTGACTGAGGTACACTTAGCGTTTTTTATCAAAATAAAAAATCTACATATACTAAAAACTAAAAAATGCAAAAAATAAAATTACAAATCATAATCTAATACATAATTTAATAAAAATATTTAGAGTTGTTTTAAAAAAATCTATATACAGGTATGGCTGGTTTAACATTATTAGATTATGTTTAAAAGTAATATTAATCAAAATCTATAACTTAATATCAAATAATTAATATATAATACTGTCTAACAGTTTACCTGTTAGATGCGATGTAGAAAAACTGCTTTTGTTTTATATATTATTATTGAAGGAGGTTATAGATTAGATAACGTCACGTATGGCCTATGGGAACGTAGTAAGAATCTTAAGGCGAAGAAACCGCTAGCTAAAAATATTATTAACTACTTCGTGGGACGTGTTAAATAAAAATCAACTTATACACCCGTAAATTTTGTAATTTTGGTTTATTTAAAACAAATACCATCATCTTGCGTCATACATTATTAGTATTCTTGTATGTGGTTGAATCTGTAATAGCATACTGTTTTCCGGTTTGGGGTGGTGCTCTACCAAAACAAGATTCATTGAGTTAGATAGTTGAGTTTTGACTATCATTTGCCTTACCGATACTCAACTACTACGCTTTACTCAAGGGCTAAAGTCCTTACAATGAGAACTTTATGAACTTTATTTTTTGAAATCTATACTCAAAACGCATAAAACATTACCTTATAACCCTAAAGTTTTTGAAACTAGAAGTTACGCTGTTGTGAAAGTTAATGGTTACAAATCTATTTTTGCTAAGAGACAGTTCACTGTGCAGGCATTCATTTGTACAATAATCCAAACAAAATTTTAAATATATACCAAATGACATAAAAAAATGTAAAAAAGACATTGATATAATGGCTTATAAGCTTAGATTATGACAATGTTGAAAAATTGTTGTTGTAATTGTAATGTGTATGTATTTTTTTACTATCTGTTTTTAAGCTTTTGTATTCTTGTCATTGTAGATGATGGAGTCCCCTGTCACAAGTATTTAATACTTAAAAGGATACCCCCTGTTAAAACAAAATGAATGTGAAGAATCAATAAAGAGGATTATTATTATTATTCTTGTCAACCTTATCAGCCTAACTAAATGTTTGTATTAGGAGGGAGTGTGTCGGGTGAGGTTAGAACCCACCGCTTCGAACTATACAATTAATATATGAAAATCTAATTTCATAAGACCTCGTAAACAAAAGGTGTGAATTTGTGAACAAGGTTTTGTAAAGGTTGCGAACGAAAATTATTTACCAACTAATTCAAAAATAATGCAAACGTGTTGATAATACAATACAGAGATGTCAATAAAACATAATTGTGGTAGCTAATCTTGTGTCATGGCCGCAAACTGCACTCGACCTCCGAACTTGTGACTAAAAAATTTTTGTGAATATTTACGAGTCCACTTATGAATAACTACTATTACTAAATTTACATAAAATCTATAAAACTTTATGATATACTGTACATAAGTTTAAATATACTATTTTA